AGCCGTTTCGGAGGAGTACGATAACTAAAACTGTGACACGAGAATTTTATACCGGGTGCGTCTCGAAAGTGGCTCACTCCCATAACTTTTTTATTTTTTCAGATAAAAAACGATATTTGGCATGTTAGTAATGACATAAACTAGGATTGATTGACGGAATTAATTGTTTTTGGTCACTCCTGTTAGACTACAACTTTTGATTTTTAAATGGCACCCTCCGTATATTTGTACTTTATTTGATAGAAAATGACACTCTGAATAGAATGACATATCATATGTCAAATTTTTAAAATTTTCGCATTATGGTTTATTTGAAGTTGTAACATGTGGTTCATAACGATAACTTGACTCGAAACACCAAGTGTGTGGTACCAAATTATTCGTAAAAAGATGCTTTCTCCAAATATGCTAATGAGCCACCATTGTTCCGTTTGAAAAAATTCAGATATGATTAAAAATACGATTTGAGCATCTTTTAACCGGCCAGAACATGACACGAAAATATTAGACGATCAAATCTGATTGATTAAAAATATGCGATTTTAACTCACCCATGGCACTCTAGATTGAATTTTAAAATACGATCTTTTTAAGCGAAAATGTCCAAAGTTGACATATGATATGTCATTCTATTCAGAGTGTTATTTTCTATCTAATAAAATAAAAAAATACCGAAGGTGCCATTTAAAATTCAAAAGTGGTAGTCATTTCCGGTGAAACAGGAAGTGACAAAAAACAATTTAATACGCCAGTCAATCCTAATTTATGTCATATACTAACATACCAAATCTTGTTTTTGAATCTAAAATAATAAAAAGTTATAGGGGTGAGCCACTTTCTAGACGCACCCGGTATATCAGAGATAAAAATCGTTGACGTACTATTAAAATTTAAAATGACATTATGTCAAGTTAAACTGCAAAATTTACTGTTACGTTTAAAAACTTAGGACTGTTTTGAAGAGATATATCCGCCAAAGAGGTATATATAGACATTTTTTCTAATGTGATTTGGTTGTATCATTCTCTCTGGAATGTCTATTTTGACGGTTTAAACATCGCAGGGTATTTTTTATATCATAAAATGTCTAATCTCCTATGGTCGAACACGGTAAACTTTCGCTGGTAATGTCACATAGTTATGTATATAGGCAAATGGGTTGCACAATTGAAAGATTTAGAACTTTACCGACAAACGGCAAAAAGATATTTGAAAAATTTACACAATAGAATGTCTACAGTTAGTTAAATTTATTTCATATTAGGATATTCTTAGAGAGGTTGGGCTATTTTAAATTAAAAATTTAATCGGTCATAAAACATTTTCTAATTTCTTCACTGTAATAAAAAAGTTAAAGCATACTTACATCTTCATGTTTCGTTTGGTAATTTTAATCAGTAGCGGGTTACGCGTATTATCAATGTAGTTTATGTCCCATTAAAAAAGAATATCGCAATAATGTCTTTGAAAAAGAACGCTTTAAAGACTTTTCGGTATTTTTTTTTCAACGAGATCGGTTTTAATTTTTATATAATATAATATAATAATAGCAATCGTATAATAGCGTTTAATGCCTTGGGAGTAGCAAGGTACAGCTTGCCATGCATTCTAGAGCCGTTCGGTATACTCAGGATTGTGAATCCTAAGTACTCATTTAAGGCTGAGTCAACCTAGGTACACAAACTATTTTTATTGTATTAAAAATAGCCGGCTGTAGGATTCGAACCCACAACCTTAAGATTGGTAGACGAGACCTCTATGCCACCGGGCACCTTTTTTCCATAACAAGGGAAACACTGCGACCTGTGAGGCTGTGTGTTTGTCCCCCTTCTATATCTGCACCCATTCTCCCATGCACTAGCTTATGCAGTTCCTTGATAGGATGGGAGCATAGTTCCTCCGGTTCTAGCTTAGCTGTCCCAAATAAAAAGTATCGCTTGTGATCCAGAGCCTCGCAATGACATATTATGTGCACCGCTGTTTCAGGATCTTTGTCGCAGAGTCTGCAGCAAGACTTCCTTGATATAGGTTGAGCTTGTTCAGGTAACACTTGACAGCCATGTGTCCTGCCAAGAGGCCTGTTGTAATCTGCACTTTATTCCTGCTAGCAGTTCTTTTGCGCCCCTGTCTGTTTCTCCAATGGACATTGTGCTTTTCCCTGATCCAGAGTTTTAGTGCACTACGGGCCATACATTTGGATATTCCCAGTACTGCCTCTGGACCAAGATAGGATGCCGATGATCCCTGCCTAGCTAGCTCATCGGCTTTTTCATTGCCTTGGATGCCGCTGTGGCCCGGCACCCAGAATAATTTAATTACCTGCCACCTTAACGGGGGTCTTAATTTTTAAAGGTTCCTTAATTTTTGAAGATTCTGATTTTGGTAAAGGAAAAATGATATCTGTCCCTGTTTGAGGTTGTTTCTAATAACCACTGACGCCTTTTCACGAGTAGATTTTAGTTGAACGATTTTTATTGATCAACAAAATCACCTCGCTTTCCCGTTCAAAATATTCTAATAAGGTTGCGATTAGTTTTTAACGGCTATTAAGTTTATCATGTACACCTCGCACTAAAAAAGGTTCTAAAAAGAACGATGTTCGACTGCAAGGTCTGCTAGTAAAAATTTTCACGCTTAAAGTATCACAACACAATACATTTAAACCAAAAACTCCAAATGCAAAACTAAAGTGTCAAAACGAATGACAATATCAGGAAATAGATAAATAAATGTAGCAAGTTCGCATTTTTTACAGCAGAGCTACCACGTGAATCCCCAGCGGGAAATTTAAATTCCAGTTAGTCATCCCGGCGCCGAATATGTCCATGGTTGGCAACAGTGAATTTAAAAATCGCGCCCTCGATTAGGTAACTAAAAGTTTAATTGGTATCGCTTATATATCTTTTGCTCCGTATTGTAATAAGAAATTTACCGCACGGGTAGATCATCCGTTTTTAAAAGTTTTTACCTGTTTTAAATATTGATCTCAAGTCAGAATTTTTTAGAAATTAGTTTTAATATTTAATTTACACTATACCGTGATTAAAAAAAATATTATAAACCGTTGAAAAGCCTCACTAACATCCGCCGCTGGTTACAAGTATTTGTAAGTCACTTTTGAGATGCACGCGGTATATCCATTGAGGGAAATATTGGAGATTTTAACATATATTTTAACATTATACAGTAGATAACATTCCTGTTATCTACTGGTATAATTCCCGGGTATTTACCATGCTGGGGGGGAGAGAAGATGGGGATTACTCTTATAAAATTAAGCTTTTCATCTAAATTGCAACGTCGGCGTTGTGCTGTCGTGTTTTTGATAGAATTTATTTACTATTGTGCACCCTTCTGTGCATTTTTAGGCTCTTTTTAACATTAACATTAACAAAGTAAAGTATACTTGGATGTGTAGCGGGTATAACGGTATTTACCCAAATTTAATATACCGTGTATTTAGCGGCTGGGTATATACCGAGTGCAAGACCTTGGGTATTTACCCAGATTTCAATATACTGGGTGTTTCTCCATTACCGATTTTATCTAAATGATTAAATTTCTGAATTTTGTGACTGTTGTGGGTTGTGGTCGCCAAACTTTATAGAGTTTGAAATACCTTGAAGACAGATCAAAATATAACTTCACAAGATGCACTCACAATATACTTTATATTGAAACATACCAATAACGTAAAATTCTAAAACTTAAACATCTAGTTAACAAAGAAAAAGGCGTACCAAATATAAAACTTTTAGTAAGTAATACGAGTACTTAGCTAAAGTTATTGCACTATTGTCACTTATACGTTAAGAATTTTATCAATTTGAGCTATATTAATAGAAAGACTACAGAGTGTTAAAACTTTAGATGAAAATCCAATATATGGCATGGCATAAACCATGCCAAATCGAATTCGCTGGGCATATACCGAGTGCAAGACCTTGGGTATTTACCCAGATTTCAATATACTGGGTGTTTCTCCATTACTGATTTTATCTAAATGATTAAATTTCTGAATTTTGTGACTGTTGTGGGTTGTGGTCGCCAAACTTTATAGAGTTTGAAATACCTTGAAGACAGATCAAAATATAACTTCACAAGATGCACTCACAATATACTTTATATTGAAATATACCAATAACGTAAAATTCTAAAACTTAAACATCTAGTTAACAAAGAAAAAGGCGTACCAAATATAAAACTTTTAGTAAGTAATACGAGTACTTAGCTAAAGTTATTGCACTATTGTCACTTATACGTTAAGAATTTTATCAATTTGAGCTATATTAATAGAAAGACTACAGAGTGTTAAAACTTTAGATGAAAATCCAATATATGGCATGGCATAAACCATGCCAAATCGAATTCGCTCATAAATAATAAAAATGTATATATATTTCGATATAATATATAGAGCTATATTGATTGAATCAGTGGCGCATCTAGCGATTGAGACTGGGAGGGATAGTGGCAATATGTAAATAGTGTACTAAATTTAAATTAGATTTCCGCTAAAAGGTATTGTGACTGAAAGAAAATAAACCTGAATTGGCCTGGATTTTCTATTTTGATTATTTTATATTTATTAATTTCTTTTGTATAAATTTTATTTTATACCACATTTTATCTTATTTACAAATCTCTCTGGGAGGGGTAATTACCCCTATTACTCCTCTATATGCGCCCCTGAATTGAGTGAATGTTTAGCTAAATTTTAAATAAGAGTATCAAAAATCACAATCAGTCATGCGACAGAAAACATAATACAAAATTTCTTAAAGTTATAGGTTATATCAAATATCTATAATAAATTTTAATTGGTAGTTTGATATAAACTCAATAGCTTCAGTGAATAACAGTAATAATTATTATGTAAGTCTTTTATCTATGGTAATAATATGACATAGTTTGAATTTATGTTGTTTTTTTATACAATTAGAAATAAAACAAGGTAGATATTTAATAAAAATAATGATTTATTATTATAAAAAGGGTGTATTTACAAAACAGGTGTGATAGTGTTCATAAATAAGAGAGCTCGCATTTACCAAAGATTTCCAAAATCAAATCTTCGTAAACGATGAGTTTTAAAAAGATGAAGATGAGAATCACAAAAGAACATTATTGAACCAATAACATCTTTTTCTTTTAGTTTATATTTAACTTAGTCAAAAAATTATTTGGAGGGTATATGTGCTCCTTGTGGTTGGAATCCGTTTTCGTCAGCGATGTAGGTTACGGTGTATACGACTCCATCTGGACCAGTATAGGAGAAACTTCCACGGACTTGCATCACTTCGTTTTCGCTTCCGGCGTTTTGGAGGGTGCCTTGCTCCTGTTGACTGATTCCGTTGCTTGTTTCATAGCTGAAAAAAATGTTTGTCTTGTGAATGATATTACTTCGAGTATTTCATGTCTGAACATGTGATCAGCAAACAAAATTTATTTTAGTTAAGATGGATCCACTACAACATAATATTATTGCAAATATCTATAAAATAAAGCTTCTTTCAGGAGCTTGAAACTAGTGGAATACATAATTAGTGATTGCAATTATACTCTTAAGTTTCATTCAGAGCCTCAAAATCAGTGGAATAAATTAGTAGTTTCAATTAGTCGTAGAAATGTGTGCACCTCATTTTAATGTAAGCATTCACAACGTCATAATTAGTGGTAGTAATTTTCAATTAATGGAAAAAGTTAACAAACTTTTGACTTTTCCACTAATTATACTTCAAAATTTGCAAGGAATGTCATTTTGGCCTTTGATTATCACCCGTCAAGAAAAATTTTGGTTTGAAATCAAAAGTTTATTTTGTTATAACCTAAATATTATGCTATCTCTATGGAGACAACAGACTACCGCAAGCTGTTGCTAGGATATAATATATAAAAAAGTAGAGCTGCCTGGTTATTGCAGCCACCCCTACAATTGTGTTTTTTAGACATTGTGAATGATCGTAAACTAAAAAGTATAAAGTGTAATTGATACCACTAATTGGGAGGTTATGAATGAAGCTTTGTACTTAATAGTTTAGTATCTATAAAGATAGGCTAATAAAATTAGCTTATAACCTCGCAATTAGTGGAATAAATTAGTGGTTTTAATTACACTATATACCTTTAAGTTTATGATCATTCACAATGTCTAAAAAACACAATTGAAGGGATGGCTGCAATAACCAGGCAGCTCCACTTTTTTATGAAAATGAGCTAGTTACTGAATTGCTCTTTAAAAAATAGTCCGATCGTTCTTCGCAACAATCAGGTATCTTCATTCAACAATACATAAATGGTAACATTATTTGGAGCTACTTTGCTTTCGGTTGCAGCAAAAACAGGGCAGCTTTTCGAGCTCTCTACTTTGGCTTACAGAATTTGTTAAAATAGAGCTGCCTGATTATTGCAGCCACCTCGTCAATTAAAATTAATAGAATATCCTAGCAACAGCTTGCAGTAATCAGTTGTTATATATATCCATAGAAAAAGACTAATATTTAGTTTATTAAACAATAAACTTGTGATTTCTAACCACATTTTTTCTTGACAAATGATAATCAAAGGCCAAAATGACATTCCTCGCAAATTTTGAAGTATAGTTAGTGGAAAGGTTAAAAGTTTGGTAACTTTTTCTACTTTCTACACTAATTGAAAATTCCTACCATTAATTTTGACGTTCTGAATGCTTACGTTCTAATTAGAGGAACAAACTTTTATGGTAATTGAAACCACTAATTTATTCCACTAATTACGAGGTTCTGTATGAAGCTTAACTGCCAAATTTTGAAGTATAATTAGTGGCGAAAGTTAAAAGTTTAACTTTTCGTTCTTTTTTGTTAAATGATTCATTGATTTCATTCGACCACACGGTATATCTACTGTAAACCAGATTTCCCTGCCTGTATAATACTTAAATAAACGGTAGTTTTCATGTTTTTAGTTTAATAACTAATAATTTATCAAAAATTGGTTATTTTTGATTAACCATCATTATGAGACATAATAAGTAGCTCGACGAGATCCAGCATAGTAAATTTTAGTATCATAGAAACTGAAATAATAGGTTCATTAATTATAGGTTGTTTTTTTAATATCATTTAATATTGTTGCTTAGAATCGTTATTATATTTTTCTGGGTATTTTCTCACACGCAGAAATTAAAAACGAAAATTCTAAAAAATGTTTCATAAACACTAATTTATTTTTTATGCATAGCATACATGTTCGTATACTTTCAAAAATGTTTTGTCAAATCTTCCACACACATAAAGTTATATTGTTTTACTATATCAACTTTTTATTTGAATAAAAAAAAAGAAAAAAGGCACAAAGTCTCGGCCCCATACATAATATACAGGGTGAGTCTTAAATAAGTGCAAATGTTTTTAGTGGTAGTATATTTTGAGCCCAGGTACACCCCTATTTTATTTTTTTTTTCGGGAAAAAATTGAAAATTTTGATTTTTTTGAAAAAAAATCGATTTTTTTTAGTTTTAGTTAAAAATCATAATTTCTTCATAATATGAGAACATAGGTAGTAGATTAAATTTACAAGAAAGAAAACCCAGAAATGGTTCTCAAAATTAAGCAAAAAAAAATTTTTTTTTTCAAATTTTCAAAGTAAAATATTTCGGTTATTTTGGACTTATTTGAACGGTAAAGAGAAAATATGTTTCTTTTATCAAGATCTACCAGCTATGAAAATATTTCCATTCATTTAAGACACCCTGTTCTGTATAAATATTATAAAATATTTTTTTTTATTATTTGGTTTTCTGTCATAATGAAAGATGCAGAATATTGGTTTATGACCTATAGAATAGGTACATACAGTATTCATATAAAGCTATAAAAAATTATGAAGTTACAATATTTCACCACTTATTTTAAAAATAAATATGTTTGGTATGATTAATCTCAAAATGATGAATCAAACTTTACATATTTGTTTCTATACTTTTGAAAGACAGACTAAACTAAATATAAAAAAACATATTAATGTTAATAGGACAAATAAGAAAACTAAGCTTCAAGAATTTTGTGTTATATTAAAATATTCTGAAGAAATGTTAATAATAATAAGAATATTAATAACTTACTTAAAATTGTATCCTTCAACGCCAATGTTGTCATTTTCGTATCTCAGTACTTGAGCCTGTACATCGGCCGGATTTTGTGGAGCTGCCAAAGCTACAGCGAAAATAGCGAAGAAAACAACGAACTGAAAAAGAATTAACATAATTAATTAACTTTAATAAAACAAAAATATAGCAATAATAACAAAACTAATCCACTAAAAACACTGTTCCACATCGTAAAGGTTCCAGTTAATATTAAGCACACACTAATCCACCAGAAGTAGGTATCACTCACCATTTTCATTTTTGCAATTTTTTTTGGAATAGATTTAAAAATTCCCCACAAGGTATTTTTGCAACTGACTGATTAGGATAGCCGATTTGGCTTTTATACGGATCTAGCTCCCTACGAACCAAGTAAACATCTTTTGGTACTGACATTTAGCCCCCTCCCTCGCACTACCCATCTTCATTTTGGCATTGCGGCTAAAGTTCAGAGTGTAAGTAAGTACTTACGTCGGATCGAAGGTACCATCGTACGTACCATCTCTGTGCAACAACAATTAAACGTCGTAATACGAGGCTGATAGTTTTTGCGGTTTGCCAATCGCTCGTCGGGTCTCGGGTAGTACTTCATTATAATACTGTATTTGTTTGAAAACGTTTAATAGGATTTTCTAGTTTTATTACAGTTCATATTTAACTTCTAGTTATGTTAGTTAACATGGCTGAATTAAAAATATTTTTAAACACTGCCACTTGCAATTAATAAAATTGTTTATTTCTAAATAGAACACATAAAGTAGGGTGTGGTTGTATCAAATGTTATAAATAATGGTATACAGGGTGTTTCAAAAACATGTGCAATCTCTCGTGGAGAGATTCCTCACGTAAAAATAAGATTTAGGGTGAGTTTTCATATCAACGTAGGTCCGGTTTTGCTTCGTAGTTACAGGGTGTTAAAATTTTAATAATCTTTCGATTTATTATAATTTTCTTCCAAGTACTTTCAGTGATTCAAATGAAATTTTGAGGGTAAAAATTACTATAAGTACTACATATTTTATTGCTAAAATAGTGTTGATTAATTCATCAGGGACGTGCATATGGGTTATTACGGAAATATTTCTCAAAAAAAACATGTGCGTCACGCGACTTTTTTTCTTTTGATATCAAAATTGTGTAGATCCTTTAATGCCAATTAAAAGTTATATCTTGATATTTTATCGAATTCGGCCGCCTTTATGAGATAAACGCAATTTTATTAATCACAATTAATAAAATTAAAATAAATATAAAATTATTAAATTATATATTTTACCCAATTTATTATTAAATATTATTATTAAACAATTTCAAATAAAAAGTAATGGTATTTGAGATAATTACAAAAAACTAATTTTAAAAGTTTTAACATCTTGTAACTCTAAAAACTATGCATTTCCATACCCATGTTTATAGGAACTTCTTTTCATATTTTTTTGATGAGGAATCAATGAGTACTTATTTAAAAAAAAAGTTAATGATATTAAAATCAAGTACGCCGAAATCGACAAAATATCAAAAGACTTTAATTTTATATCATAATATTTAATATCAAAACAATCTTTAATCGGCATTAAACTGCTTATTCGCTAACAAGAGAAAAAAGACAGTGGCGTACATGCTTTTTTAAGAAAATATTCCAGTGATAACCCATATGAACGTCCCTGGTGAATATGTCGGCACTTTTTAACTTTAAAATATGTCGCATTTATAGTAATTTATCCTCAAAATTTCATTCAAAACCCTAAAAGTATTTGGAAAAAAATTATAATAAATCGAAAATATATTAAGACTTTAACACCCTGTAGCTACGAAACAAAGCAGAATCGGACCTATGTTGATATGAAAAATAATTCTTATTTTTACGTGAGGAATCTCTCTGCCACGAGAGATGGCACATGTTTTTTGCAACACCCTATAGTAGAGTATATATATTTGAATAAAATATACATGTATAGATACACACACCCTATACAGGGTGAGTCTTAAATAAGTGCATATATTTTTAGAGGTAGTATATTGCGACACCAGAAACACGATTATGAGGTTTTTCGTGAAAAATAATTGAAAATTTTTAATTTCTTTTCTCATTTTTGATTTTTTAAGATTTTAGTTAAAAAATATAATTTCTTGATAATATGGCAGTATAGATAGTAAATTAAATTTACAAGAGTTTCAACCCAGAAAAGATTTAGTGGTTCTCAAAATTGCCGAACTAACGTCCTTATTTGGATAAAAATTGGTATCAATATGACTCCTACTTGAAGGGGGGCGCCACCTACATATTTTTAACTGGTTTGATGAGTAATAACTTTTCGTCGGTACCTGTATAAAACTGAGTAAAAGAATGTACATTTTCGCCCTTTTTTTACTTATTAAAGGTCTCTTGTATTTTATGGTAGTGTCTCTATCAAAACTATTCATACTAAAATTGGCTGAAATACTTGTCATAATAGTGGGATATATGTAAATTAAAACCCAAATCAATAGCTTCTGAATTCAATATTATTTTTATTATTCTGGAATACTATACAAGTATAGTTGTAAGTTTCAAAAAGGCGTTACTCTAGTTTAATCACCTTTGTTTTTTTTTCTCGTTTTTGAGAGCCCTGTAAGTGCATTCTTATATATCGGACACTATACCGGGTGCGTCTCAAAAGTGACTCACCCCTACAACTTTTTTATTTTTTGAGATAAAAAAACGAGATTTGGTATGTTAGTGTATATGACATAAATTAGGATTGATTGACGTATTCAATTGGTTTTGGTCACTTCCTGTTTCACCGGAAATTACTACAATTTTTGATTTTTAAATGGTACTCTCGATATATTTCTACTTTATTTGATACAAAATGATACTCTGAATAAAATGACATATTATCATATATGTCAACTTTTGACATTTTCGATTAAAAAATAATCGTATCTAAAATTTCAATCTAGAGTGTGACTTATGGCTGTGTTAAAAACACTAAGTTTTAATCAAGCAGCATTGGACGAATAATTTGGTACCACACGCTTGGTATTTCGAATCAAATTGTCGTTATGATCCGCATGTGACAATTTCAAATAAACTTTATGCGAAAATGTCAAAAGTTAACATAGGATATGTCATTCTATTGAGAGTGTCATTTTCTATCGTATATACTAGAAATATATCGGGGGCGCCATTTAAAAATCAAAAGTTGTAGTCATTTCCGGTGAAACAAGCAGTGACCAAAAACAATTGAATACGTCAATCAGTCCTAATTTATGTCGTATACTAACGTACCAAATATCGTTTTTTTATCTGAAAAAAATAAAAAAGTTATAGGCGTGAGCCACTTTTGAGACGCACCCGGTATATAAAGTTTAGAAAAATATTTTATATAGAAAGACATTAATTTATTGAACATTGATTGTAATATTTATATTGAAGTCGATTATAAAAAACGTTTAAATCATTAAATAATAATAGATGTACTGTTGTACACAGGCAATTTCTTACATCGCATGATTACTGCAGAAGTAGCTATTTATGTAACACATCAATGTAAAGGTTAATCAGTTTCAATTAATTTTGTTAAATTCCGCCGCCTCTGTCGACCCATCTTTTCCATTTAGCGGTCGTACGTGTCCATACGTCAATTTTTTTCTCCTTTTTTCTACCAAAAGCATTCGATAATTCCAAAGAAGGTCGAATGCCTTGCATTTTCTTACATTCTCCGGTAAAGTAGTCGAAATGTTACTACTGGAAATTTTCGCACAGTCTTTTGTTGCAACGATAAACGTAAAAAATCTTCCAAAAATTAAACAGGACTCTGATTCTGAATCGTTTTAATTGGTAAAACATTCTGATAAGATGTTTTACATTTCATATTTTTTACCTCGGTATACCGGGTGCGTCTCAAAAGTGGCTTACCCCCTATAACTTTTTTATTTTTTCAGATAAAAAAAACGAGATTTCGATATATGACATAAATTAGGGTTGATCGAGGAGGTCCATGCAATTGGTCCACCTCTTTCTATTCCTAAGTCTACATAATTATGATATAAATAATCTTTGGCTTGTAGACGGTAAGAGGAGGCCGGGTGGACAACTGAAAAGGTACAAGGACATTTTGACCCAATGAACTTTTTCATTATATTTATGTCGACTTTTGGTTCAGTGTAACGGTTCACCGGTCAATGTATCCTCGAAACTGTATGGCCAAGAAAAGTTGAACCCTACACACTTTTCTTCATTTGAAAAATTAATATTTACAATTTTTGTTTATTTTAATTTACAAAGTTTGGATGTGACAGTTTCACATTTCTGAGAGCAACGACGATTGAACTTGTTTCCATGGCTAACTAAGTAAAATTAGTCAAGAAAGATAAGAATTGGTCATAACTCGGTAATTTTGTAAAAAAACATATTATAAGTCATGGCCAACTATGGTTTCTATTTAAAAAAACATATATTTGTGTCATATGTCAAAAATGAAAGGCTTTAGAAAAAATCGGAGAACACAAACTCATTAGGGATGTGATTATCTACAACTTTTATCTGAAAACTTTTTGTCTAAAATAGATTATAATGGAATTAAGGACAATTTTTAAAATAGCCAAAATTTGTTTTTTTTAAATATCTAGTAAGTCATGAACTTTTTCAAAAATCTGAAAGGCGCATATTTATGACCCCACAAAACTGCAATTCTTTCCTCATTTAACCGACTCTCTATATCTTCAGTAGTTTCCAAGATATCGAACATCGAGAACATCGTAGGAAACTCACCCTGCATATTATTTACGTTGTTCAAAATCATTTTCCAGTTTCCCTAATAGTAAAGTTATGAGGAATTGAGAAAGTTATGAAACTGAGTAAAATGTCAGTCACGGCAATGTCAAATCATCTTGAGTATATTTGCCTAATACAACGTTCCAAAGAATTTGGATCCATTGATAAAATGTAAAACCTCAATCACTTGTGATAAACTGATACACTGTAATGATGGGCATTACGATTCTTTTTAGTGAATCGAATTACACGATTCAATTTCTCATAATGAATCGACTCCTACGATTCATTCATTTGAACGAACCACAAGCACAATTTACGTTTCATAAAAACAAGAATCGTAACTGGCACTACCGGCGACAGTTTGGCCGTACAATTACATAGAATTTAGAATTTAGAATGAGTGGGAGGGGGGTTAATCACTGCGACTTTATTATTTCCCCCTTTCTTGAGTTATAACTCATCATACAGTCCCAGGGCTTTGACAAAAGCCAGTATCTTGGACGGTTTTACAGAGGGTAGTTCCCCATCTCCAATATCAGTCGTACCAAAGTTCATGGCACGAATGGTTGTCGTCTCGGCGCACTCAGTGATGAGGTGTACTGGTGTTTCACCATCTTCCCCACAGAATCTGCATTCGCCGTTTCTTCTTGGTTTTAATCTACTGAGGTGTTCATTGAGGAGACAGTGTCCTGTTAAAACCCCTCTGACAATCCGAA